GCCCGCGCCGCCTCGCCCGCCCCCGGGGCCAGCAGCGCGGCCAGCTCCGCCATCGCCGCCTCCACGGCCTCCTCCTCCTCCGCCGCCGCCGCCGCCATCACGGCCGCCTCCAAGATGGCGGGCGTCACCTGGCAACCGGGAGCCAATGAGCGCGGCGCGGGCGGGGCCAAGCCAATCAGTTGCGGAGAAGCCGCCAAAGGGGGCGGGACAGGCGGGCTGCTGGGAAGGGAGGGACCGCCCGGCGCTACGTGGGCACGCCCACACCGCTGCGGGGCTCCGCCCCCTCGGGCCCTGCGGCGCCGCCGGGTCCTAGTGCCGGTCGGGGGGGAGGACATGGCCGTCTCCTGCCCACCATTCCCAGTCCCTCCAGGAGGGAACTGGATCACGGAATAATGCAGGTTGGAAAAGTCCTCTCGAGTCCCACCACCGACCGACCCACCACTGACCCGTGTCCCTCAGCACCACGTCTGCCCGGCTTTTCAATCCCTCCAGGGATGGTGACTCCACCACTGCCCTGGGCAGCCTCTGCCAAGGCTTCACAGCCCTTTCCAAGGAGGAATTTTCCCCAATCTCCATCCCAACCCTCCCCTGGCCCAACTTGGGGCCGTTTCCTCTTGTCCCATCACCTGTTCCTTGGGAGAAGGGAAAGAGGAGGGAGGAACTGGGCTTTAACAGCTTCACCACCAGCGGTCTCACCCCTCCACGTCCATCGGGAGGAAAAAACTTGCCAGAAGTGATTTAACACCAAAAAAACCACCCCCCAAAAAAGGTGATGTTTGAGGTTGGAGGTTTCCCACCCCCTGGGCCCGTCTCTGGCTGGTGGCTCCATCCCAGTGTTCCCAGTGGGATGCAGCCAGAGCTGGGATTTGGGGAGGTGACTCCAGCCGGGAATATCCCCGGGGGCAGAGATCACCTTTGGGATAAAAAGCCAAAAATCCACAAAATATCCAGCAAGGGAAGGGCCAAAACCCCTTCAATCTGATTGGAGAGAGGACAAAAATGATAAAATAAAGCGATGAAATAGAGGATAAAGCGATAAAATAGAGGATAAAGTGTTAAAATAAAGTGATAAAATAGAGGCTAAATCAATAAAATTAAGGATAAAGTGATAAAACAGAGGCTAAATCGATAAAATAAAGGATAAAGTGATAAATTGATAAAATAGAGGCTAAAGCAATAAGATAAAGTGATAAAATACAGGATAAATCGATAAAGTGATAAAATAGAGGATAGAGTGACAAAATAAATCGATAAAATAAAGGATAAATTGATAAAATATAGGATGAAGCGATGAAATAGAGGATGAAGCGATGAAATAGAGGATGAAGCGATGAAATAGAGGATGAAGTGATAAAACAGGCTAAATTGATAAAAGATAAAGTGATAAAACTGAGGATGAAGCGATAGAGGAATGACAAAATAAATCGATAAAATAGTGAATAAATTGATAAAACAGAGGCTAAATTGATAAAAGTGATAAAACTGAAGATGAAGCGATAGAGGATAAAGTGATAAAACAAAGCAGTAAAACAGAGGGTGAAGTGATAAAATAGAGGATAAAGTGCTAAACCAGAAGAGAAATGGGTAACTGGAGGGGAAGGGGAGACCCAGGGGTGGGGGGAACCCGCTGGTGCCACTCGGGGAGGGGAGGAACAAACACTGAATCCCAGAGAAATACATCAAATTTGGTGTTTCTCAACCCAAACCCAAGCCCAGGTTGTCCTGGCAGGAACTGGGACCACCCCAGTTCATCCCAGTTCCCCTCTTCGTTAGTCGGCGCCTTCCTAATGATGTTTGGGACCTGCACGTGGCAGGGGGGGACACACCAGGGGGGGCCCTGGGTCCTGGTGGCACCAACCCCCCCCCAGGTGGCCAGGGGCCCCCCAAGGAAGGGGTGTTGAGTGACAGAAACCCTTTATTGGGGTGAGGATACATTGCTTTATGCCGTGAAGTCCAATGTGCCCCCCCCCGGGGGTGACACGGGGCAGAGGCAGCCACAGCAGCGAGGAGGGGGGGGAACACACACACACACACACACACACACACAAATCCGAAAGATTTGCAGTGCTACAGAGCAACTACCTGGTGTTGGGAGTCTCCTAGACAATTCCACATGCTGCTGAGGTGAGCCTTGCCTAGTGACCCCAGCCACCACTTCTACTTTGAAAGTGTAGGAAAATGGACAATTTCCAAGCTACGATAAATTCTTCATCGCGCAAACCCTGGTCTTATCCTCTGCTGCATGCCACACACACACACACACACACACACACACACACAAATCCTGCTCCGTGTCCCCCCCCCGGGTGCAGAGGGGAGGAACAAGGGTCCCCACAGCTTTTCCCGGGGGGGAGCAGAAAGAAAACCCCCTCCCCGGGTAGGGTGGGGGGGTCGGGGGGGGCTCAGGTCCATCCTGCAGAGCGACAAGGAAATAAATTCCCATTTGGAGCTTCTGAAGAGTCATGAGGGGGGGAGAGGAGCTGGGGGGGTCTGTCTGTCTGT